AGAGCTTTCTCGCACAGGTCTGGAGTAAAGAGAGCAAGGGAGATCTGCAGCCCCTTAAAGGAGGCCGCGGTGTGAGAGCGATGCCCGGGTGGAGGAGCGAGCTGGACCACCCGCAGTAATTCGAGAGACAGCAGGGGGAGAATTGCAAATTGTAGGAGTTTCCAGCCCTGCCTGGAGACTGTATGAGATCCTTCTTCTCTGAGCACGTTCCTCAGCCTTTGCCAGCCACCACCCACCCGGGGCACCCCTCTGCGCAGGCCGCATTGCTCCTGCAGCAAAAACTAGGCCATGGAATAAAACTGCCCTTCTGAAAAGCAGGGTACAGACAGAGCTGCGTGAGGCTGGGGAACTCGGTTGCCTGAAGGGGGATGAGAAGGTAGGATGGCAGTGGACTGAGAGGTCAGAAACACTGAAGCAAAGAAAACGGAGAGGAAGGCAGACACTAGAAAATGTGCTGTTTATTGTTATCAGATATGAGTTTTATTCCTAAACTAATCCATGTAAAAGCTGAAAAACCCTCCTTCTAGCTGCTTTCTCTGTTTTTTAAAACATCCTAAATGGCTTTATCTTGTCCTCCCTAGCCACTTTGCTACCCTTTGCTGCAGGATCCTGGCACCTTGTCCTTGCACAGCTGGCTTCAGTGTCACTTTGTGGGTTTTCCAGCAAGGCTGACTTGGAAAGCGTGCAACTCCTGACCTGATTTCTGCAGGACTGAGTTTCCTGGAGGCTCAGAAATCATCAGGGCATTAGAGATGCACTAGTAGAGAGGAGTCTCTGGAAACACACCGGTGTGATGGCATGCAGCTCTGTGTGATGATATCTCCTGAGACTGTAGGGGTAGATAGAGAGACGTTCGTGGGAGTAACACCAGAGCTAACAGGAAAGGAGATTAGTGAGGACTGATGATTTGTCTCCCACAGCTCTGTAAATAGTAGGGAGTATGTTGAAACTACAAGCCTAGAAGGCTGCGTTTCCCTTGTTGAAACTACAAGCCTAGAAGGCTGCATTTCCCCGTTGCGTTTTCAGCTGCTCACAGAGACGAGCAACATGGTGGTTTTTCTCTTTTGCCTGGTGTGAAAGGCAGCTTGGCCTATTCTCTATTTCTCTTTGGCTCTATTCCCCCTTCCCAAACACTTGCCCTGCGCTTCTGCATGACGAGCTGGATTTCCCACCGTGGCAAAGTGGGGAAAGTCTACATCACTTTTAGGAAAGATCCTGTGAGTGCCCACTTGCCTGACCTGCGCTCCTCGTTACGGGACTCAAGGGATGTCGGGGTTAGGAGCTCCAATGGGGAATGGTGCCTCAGGATCTCCTGTCCTTCTCCTTAGTCCTCTCTGAACTCCTCACCCTCCTTAGTGAGTAAGCGGTGCTTGCTCTGAAGATTTGTGTTTCTGTGGTGTTGCCTGGCCTCAGAGCTTTGTCAAACCACGTAGTGGCCTGTTTTGGTGGGAGATCCTGTAGAAGAGGCGGGGGTCAGGAAGGGCTGAGCTGCAAGTTCGTCGTGTGGATCCTGCCGCTCTGTGGCTGCAGGGTTCAAAGATCCCTACAAGTTTGTTAGAGGCTTTAGGAGCCCAGTCAGCTCTGTAGGACAGGACGTGACTTGGTGAAACCTTCTCCTTATGGATTCAAGTCTGCTCTTCAGCTCTTCTGGGCTGTCAATCATCTGGCACTCCTCCCAGTCTAGCTGAAATGTATAGAAAGCTACTGTACACTGAGAGAGACAAATAGGGCTATTTGTTTTCCTAATAGTTATTGTGCATGGTTTGTTTTGTTCCAAGTACTCCTCTGTGCCTTTTCTCTGAGGGAAAACACTTCTGAGTAAATAGGAACCAAGCAGTGAGCTTAGCCTATTGCATTGATAAGGTGCAAGTCTGTGGACGTTGAGAAAGATTGTGTGCATTATCTTCTATAAGTCTCTGTCAGATAAAGTGCGTTTAAGGTCTTATAACTGTAAAATGTCTAGCAGATAATACCCTTTACTAGAAATCAGTAATATTGCTGCAAGAACTGCAGGCTAGGAAACAGGTGTAAAATGTGCATCGTACACAATAAAACTATATATACAGCTCTTCCTCTCCATTCCCTGTTTCGGGTCAGATATTTTTCTTATAGTTCAATGACACAGTTTCACGGGCCCTCCTGCTGATCTGAGCGCATCTCTAATCAGTGGTAGAAGATGAGCCTTGTTTTCAGGCCGTGACGCTTGCTGCTCTGATAAATGACCAGCTGAAATAAGTAGAAATGAAAGTGTTAATTTCCCCCGGGGTCTAGTGTTATTCAGCTCTGACATATACGGTACCAATGGGAACGTCTACCAGACAGGCCTTTAAGGGATTGAGCTGGACGTCTTGAATCAAGCAGCGTGAATCGGTGTGCGAAACAGACGCCGTATTGTGCTTTAATCCACCCTTGGGAGCAGATCCGTGTGTTAAATCCTTCCCCTCCCTCTCTGCGGTGCACTGCGGCGAAGGCTTCCTGGTGGGTAAACGGCAAGAGATGCGAAGCGCGTTTAAAGCAAGAGCCCTCAGGAGAACTCGTGGTGCAGAAGGCGGGGTGAAGCGATGTGAAACGGTGCCAACAGCGAGCGTTTCCCTTGCCTCAGTGGCTGCTCAAGGCTCCTCCTGGGAGCAGCCGAAGGTGCCCGGCTTTGCTGGTGTGCGCACCGGCAAGGCGTGATTTGGAGAGGCTCTTCTTCGGGATTCGCCTCCTAGCTCCGTTTCAGGTCCACACAGGTCTTTGTGGAGAGCCTTGGGTGCTCTCCTGGTGTTACCAGAAAGCCAGGTATCAGGCACTGGGCTTGAATTTTAGGAGAACAGGAAGTTTTGTGTATATGCCAGTGGCGCGTGGCCCTTCCTGGAGGAAGACATGGATTTCTGCTTGGTAGAACAGCCCGGGCCTGACGGGAAATCGGATATTGGGTTTCACTCCTCTGGGAGCCCCACCCTCCCAAACCACCAGCCTTACTTACTGCGCAACCTGGAACAGCTGAGGTGTATCCCATTCCTCGATACCCTCCAAGATCTAGAGACCATTGTTCCGTTCCCTTGTGTTTATAGTGTTCTGGAGTCACGTGCGTTGTTGTTTGAGCTTGGAGGTCTGTGGAGACAGGAGTACGTGGCGATTAGATGTGATATAGGCACATATGTATATAGGCAGTTACGGATTCGAAAGCTCTTCATCTCTGCTATAAAGGGACACGCACGCTCTTTGCAACAGCACGGCTGTTACAAAACCCCACAGCAGAGGCATGAGCCGGCTCTCTTGCTTTTCCTCAGCCCGGGCTGCCCTCGCAGGAAAATCAGCTGTACCTGTGCTCTGAGAGAAGACCGAGGGCAGCAAACTAGGGCATTTCTAACTGCACAAGTACAGCGTGCTGGTTGCAAAAACCAGCCCCGAAGAGGTGCTCTGAACGCCTCAGAAGGCGATAACTTGTAAGGCAAAGCTTTGGGGCAGGCCTGTTCGCTCAGCGGCTCAGCCGGGGGGTTTGCAAGCACGCTCTGGGGATGTCCCACGCCATGATTTACGGCCGCCGGTGCAGCAGCCAGCCGCGCGCGGGACGCACTCCTTTCGCAGCCCGGGAGACCAGCACAAGCAGACACGGCTGCAACCTAAACAAAAAGGGCTTGAAAACTGTTTTTCAGCAAGGTTTGGCTCTAGCTGTGTCCTAGCTCGTGTCAGATGTTACCGCAGGCCGGAGGTGTAGCGGCGTGATCAGATCAGCAGCGATCGTTTTCTTCTAGGGAGGAACCAGCCACGAGATGGGAGATAATGTTTTGTTGACCGAGCAGCAGCTCTCGCCCCAGACGTTTGCTCGTGAAGAAGCCGCGTCCTGTGCCTGGGCGGCTAACCGGCCCGGGCAGGGACGGGGTGGGGAAGCCCTTCCTGGGGCAGCTCACGCAGCTCCTGGCCACCCCAGCTTGCAGCTCCTTGCCCCGAGGCAGGCCCTTGCGTCTGTTTTACAGGGCTTACGCTTGCACCCGCCCCGTAAAACCTCCTCTTCTTCCTCCCTGACGGTAGTACAACATACCGGGGATTTGGGAAGAAACGGAAAAACCCTCTGGCTTATTTCTCAGAGGGTCTGGCCGATAGAGCATTGTAGCAGTGGGGAAAATCGTCTTCCTCGACGTTGCAGGAGGCCAACGTCAGCCTGGCTCGTTGTGTGCACAGCTGCAGAAATAGCCCTTCAAATGGGTTTTACAGACTCCGGTAACATCCCCTGAATGAAGCCAAGCGGGTAAACAGCGTGTGGGGCTGTGATTTGCACAGTGGGGCACACCTGGGTACCGAGGGGCAGCGAAAGCCTTTGGAGGCAGCAGCGGGGACCTGGAGGAAGGTGGGCTGCTGCGGCCCTTCCTTCTGAGGCGTCAAAGCCGAGTGCAAGAGCAACCTCAGCGTGAAGCGAGGCCCTGGGAGGATGCTGCCTGGCAAAGGGAAAAGGCGGTAGAGAGAAAGGGAGACGTACTAGCCAGCCGCGAGGGTGGGCGCGGGGGCAGAGTCGAAGCAAGAGAAGCGCGGTTCGCTAGGGCTGCGCGTCCCCGGGCGAAGGGGGAAACGGGGGCTTTGTCAGAAGGTCGGGAAGAGAAAGGCGGCGGGGATGCAGTCTCCCCCTCGCTGCAGCGAAGCTGTTGGCAGCTCTGTTGGGGGAAGGCGACCGAATGTCCCTGCCTGGCCTGGGCAGAGACGTGGGCAGCGGACGCGGTCGGGAGCTCTGTCTGTCCAGCAGAAACGCCAAGGTCCCGGAGCGGGAGAAGGTCTCTTCTCCCCCTTCCCCTGCGCCCACGTGGTCAGGCTCGGCCGACAGCGTTGCAAGGGGTCACGGGGAAGCCTCCGTCTCCGTCTGGTGCGGTTCGGAGGCAGATGCCGGGCACATCCCGCGC